AGCACTTCCTAGTTTGACAGTTTGATCTGAGTTTTGTGAGACTGGTGCGTTGTGCTGGACAGATTCACAGTGAACCCGAGTACACACTGTGATAGTGACTTGTTAATCACAAAATAGCCATGCCCTAAAGCATACCCTGCTTTTACTTCTATTTTACTCTAAATGGGATTATAATTTACAAAATAAACATCATGCTATATTGAAGAAGATTTAAAACTAGCATCCATAAACTCATTAGGAAACTGTTTACTAAAATTTATTGAACACTCAAGTTCATAGTCAAAAAGGCAAAATTCCAGATTATAAGCAGCAGAACATAGCAGATAAATATAAATACCCCAAATAACAAAGAATGATAAAAAAAAAACAAATTAAAACCAGGGTTATTGTAGTTGATGAAAATTGCGGTTCTAGTAATATGTATAGTCATACTGCATATTTAGCTTCCGCACAATTATTCTCTGATTGGAGACTGCCATCTCACAGTATCGAGCGGTGTTCATATATGCAAACTGCCATTAGCAACAACATTTAAAAATGGTATAAAACATTAAACAGCGAGGAAAAGGAGACAAAAAACTAAAAGGCTTCCATAATTTTCTGCCTGTTCACAGCGTGTTCAGTGGATTGTCCAGAGCAACTTGGACTCTGTTTCAGCTTGAAATTTAGTCATTTTCAGTGAATCAAGTATTATCATTTTGATATGAATGATTGCACTAAAGTTGCAGAAAACTGCTAAATTTGTCTTGAATATTTGACATTTTTCTATTTTATACGTTCATTATCTAACATTTTTATGATGTAGAAAGTTTTTAACACTAGGCAGGAGCAGTGGCTTTGATGTTTATTTGATCTTCACTTCAATACTGTACCTACTGTAACTAACACCTGCAGGTTCACATAGCTGTACTGCATGACACATTGAGGGCACTGTATCTTTTGAGGGTTAATAATGAAATACAGTGTGTGAAAGATAAAAGTTCACATTGCAAGGTATTTATTACAGAGATACAGAACGTCATGATGGATGCAAAATAAGATAAAATGCCAAGGAAGGGTTAACAGGAATGTGGAGATGAGGGCCTCATTTATTCCATTTATCTCTGATGCAAGCGACGCCATGGTTACTGCAGGAGGAGTCAGGTAGAGATGATGAGTTAAATGCTCTCAGTGACAGAGGAGAAGATTCAGGTCTCTTACAGGTGAGAAGAGAAAGGAAGAGTAATAGGAGTGAAAGATGATAGGCATCCAGTGTTTTTATTTATTCCCCCACAGCAGTCACAAGTGCCTCTTGAGCTGGTTAAGCAGTAAGAGAGCCAAACAGCCAAAGCTGTTGTGTGTACCCGGAGAGGACAGTTTGCTGTTTACCTGTATGTGTGCCCAAGTGTGACCTCTGCCCCTGGACCCATATTGTTGCCCATGGCGATAGCCAGCATCTTAAATTTTACATGTGGCTCATGAATTATACACAGCGAGCATGCAGGAGAGACAGGCAAGTGGGGGAGAGAGAGCACAGTGCTGCAAGATAAAAAAGAATCGGAAAATGTATTTTTCTGGATGTATTAATATTTTTAAAATATGTTATTATATTCCCTGTGTTTCACCTGCTGCTGTATAATGAGGAATACTGGGTAATTTTAAATGTTAGTGATATTGTTGTCTTGTTTCACTTCCTGGAACATAAGGCTGATCAATTATTAATTTTTCTTGCTTACCAGGTGCTTTCATCTCAGGGAGTTGTATTACATGCAGTGTAGAAGATTCCATTCATAACCCTGAGAGGGAGCTGAGTTCACACTCAGTGCTTCTATCATGGACATCCTTCATTCTCCTCAGGGCATCCCATCTTTCTGTATTAGAGGAAATATTATATCCGATACACACACACACATACACACATACACACACCATAAAGGAAACTATACTTGCTGCATCTACCAAGGTAAAAACTCTCAAACAATGACTGAAAAACACAAGCAGTCAAGGATAGAGCTAAATGTTCTTCTGGCACAAAGCAGAGAAGGTCATACCGAAAACAAGAAGTCATAGCCCAAAACAAAATGTGCAGTTGCTGTAAATTACTGAGGTCTGTTTTGAAAAGCTTTAGGCGACCACAGTTCTTCTCCTCATTGTCCTGTTGTAATGCAGCAATGGCAGAACTCACAACTTCAACAAGCTATTTTCATGAGGCTAGTTAGTTAAAATTGATATGATTCATTTCCAAATACTCGCTGAGTGTACAACATGCCCTGCTGAAGTAAGAGCAAATGATGTTATCTGTATTGTGTTTGAATGTGTGTATGTTCAGCTAGAAAACCAGGATTCGGTGCGAACTCTATTGAAGCGGACCGAAGCAGAGCTGAACGTGCGTGTGGCTGACGCCCTGAGGAAGCAGGAAGATCCTCTGCAGAGACAGCGCCTCCTGGTGGAGGAGGAGAGACTGAAGTACCTCAATGAAGAAGAGCTCATCATCCAGCAGCTCCAGTCAGTAACAAGTATAAGACTCTGTGTTCAGCAATAATGTCAGACAGTGATAGTGATTGTAGAACAGTATGTACATTAATAATAATCTAACATTGGTAATAGAAATAAATATATATGCATTTGTACCAATATGGGTGTTTTTTGATCTGTGTATATAATTCAAACATGACCAAGTTCATTTCTGTTTTATAATTAGATGACTCACAGGGTGTCTCAGTGATAGGATGAAATTGTAACTGTAATTAAGCCCGGCATAGAGCAAGATGCTTATTATGATCTGAGGTATGAAACGGTCCTGCAACTAATTAAAGTGACTGCAAAACCAGAGCCGAGAGCTACCTTGAGATTTAATAATCAGATAACTTGCTTCTGTCTCATATGTGGAAATGTTCACTCTTGTAATGATTCCTCGATCGGCAGAAGAGTTCCTGAATCACTTGAAGCAGCATTTTGATTGCAGACTAATTGGTTGAACTGTTAGATGATCTCTGCTAATCAATGTCTGTGATTCAGCCTGGCTAATGGGCAATTTATTTTGGTTAATTATACATGGAACTTTGATTCATTACATAACTTAAGTCAGATTTGACATAAACCTGACCAGACCAGACACAGACTCAATATTTGAGCTGAACAAACTCACATTTGTATAGATTCTGTTCCACTTGTTCCCTCAGTTATTGCACGAAACTTTTAATTATCCGTTCATGTCCACCTCCAGTTCAGCTGTCCAGAACTGTTGATCTAGCTGCCAGTTGATTGAGAGACAGTTTATTGGCAGTAGTTTTTACTGACTACTCAAATAGCATAATTCTGAGATAAATATTCAGTCGAATTTAAGTGTGGCAAAGGAATCCCTGGTGTTCAGCTTTCTGTCTGTTCCATCTCAGCGACCTGGAAAAGTCAGTGGAGGAGATCCAGAAGGAGTCATCTGTCAACCACAAGCTGGTGACAGTGCAGGAGCTGGAGGAGAAGGCCACTGTTCTGAGAAAGCTGGGAGAAACACTCACAGAACTGAAAAGTGAGTCATGCTGGCACATTTCACATTCTGTGCACAGGCAAAACACAATTTTTTATGCTGGCAGACAGTTTATAATGCACTAATTACTCACCAAGGCACTGATTATCTTTTAGTCACCCACAGCCAGTCTGTCAAACATTTAATCAGCCTCAGATTGCTCATTGTCTTAATGAACTGCCTGACCATTTACAGTAGTTCAAAAATGTTTTGTTTGATTACCACACATGGCTTTCAGCCTCTTTGACAAGTAGAATTAATTTGTTTGGGGGAATATGGTTGGTTACTTGTGTTACTCTTCTACTCTCTGCTGCAGATCAGTTCCCAGGCCTGCAGAGTAAGATGCGGGTGGTACTCAGGGTGGAGGTGGAGGCTGTCAAATTCCTGAAAGAGGAGCCACACAGGCTCGATGCCCTGTTAAAACGCTGCAAGACTATAACTGACACCCTTGCCACCATGCGCAAGTATGAACTTGGTCCAACTGAACAACAGTACAATCAGTAATCAGTATGCTTTATATGCCTGTTAGTGGAAGACAATTTGTGTTGAATTAAATAAGATGAATGTAAATAAACTGTCCTTATATGGACTTGGAGATTGAAAAGTTTCTAAGTAATACTGTTGCATTTGTCTGATAAATTCTTACATAATGACACTTGCAGTGAAATATGTCCAACATTTGCTGACACGGAAAACTTGCCCATTTGTAATCAATTCGAGGAAGGCTTTCCGTTTGTACCTCTGCCAAAGAGATTATGCTTTCACCCCTTCCGTTTGTGTGTCAGCAGAACATTATGGATTTTCATAAAATGTGGTGGACAGACATGCCTTTAACCAAGGAATTGATTAGATATATTTGTTGATTCAGATCAGAGATTAACACCATTAAACATTTATTGTTTGAAGCCAAAGCTCTTCAAACTAGCAGAGACCGAGAGATGGTTTAAAATCTTAATTTGTGTAGAAAAAGGGATGTCCTGAAGGATGTATTTAAACAGCTAGTATTACCACTTGCCATTTTGAAGTTTGGACTTTTAAAATGTTCCCTTCAGTATTCTCTTGTGTATCTCCTAATCAGCCTTGTGTCAAAAAAGCACCTCCCTTTCTGGTTTAATTAACCTCACTAATCAAAAGAACTCATCAAATGCAGTTTTTTTTCTCATATCTTTCTGAGTATTTATTCAGCATTGGCGGAGGTTTGTGCCCTTCACACTGTTTTGAGCTTTTTGGGTGATTTTAGCATTCAGCAACAATTGTTTTCACTTCAAGTCATGGTCATATGTGTTACATTTCAAAGAGTAGATTAATGAATTTGTCTTCCATGTCTTACCAGACAAGCAAATGGGGGTGTGTGGAAGAAGCAAGAAGACTTTTCTAGTCCTTCATCAAAGCATAATGACGACTTGCGAAAGTTTTCAGACTTTGACATCCCCACTAGCCCACCACTCACCATCAATGACCTTGGGGGAGGTAACAGCCTGTCCAACTGGAGCCCCCACTCCAGCCTCAGCCGTGGCCACGCAAACCTGTCTGGCCCTCACAAGGACAATCATCCTCCTGTTCCCAACAAGGGCAAAGCCCTGGAGGAGCTAGAACGGCGTGCTGCTGCTGACAAAGCTTTGTCTGTGGAAGTTCGACTGGTAGGAATTATTTCTGCTTTTTTTTTACCTTTTTTTTCTCTGTTTTCACCACTCACATAGTCTGCATTATAAATCACAACATAACATAGTTACACCAGTCCTGCAACACACATTTACTGTACAATTATGAAGTGTTTAGATCTGTCTCTCTACTTCACAGGCAGCAGAGCGGGACTGGGAGGAGAAGCGGGCCAGTCTGACCCAGTACAGTGCCCAGGATATTAACCGGTTGCTGGAGGAGACCCAGGCTGAGTTAATGAAAGCTATTCCAGATTTGGACTTTGCTGCCAAGCAAATCAAGCCCTCCTCTAACACACCATCATCCCAGAACCCCCAAAGTGGGGCAGGAACCCCAGAGCACCGCGTTATCAAGCCACAGCACAAACTGTCTGGGAAAGAGGGAGGATGCAGGCGGGGCTCTGGTAAGATGGAGAGTTCAATGCATCATTGTCAAGGGAAAACATGGTCTCTTCAAATTGTCTAGAAATTGTTCAAGAGCTAAGAAAACTAAATGTGTTTTCAAGGTAACCACCATGTATTCTTTTAGGAATCCAATTATTTTTAAAATAGTTTTACAAGCCCTGCAGGTCATTAGATTTTCTCAAGAACATCTTGATCCCAAACTGAAATAAAATTAGAAAAACTGGAGATACAGTATTAATTTTAGTTAAAATTACTTTCATAAAGTCACTCATCATAGCATTCAGTATTGACTAAAGCAGTTGCACACTGCACACAGTATGCTGCCTACCAAAGCCTAATAGCTTATTATAAAAACACTGTGAACGTAGTACGCAAGGATGACTCTTTTATCAAGATACCTGAATCATTTCCTTTACCAGATGAGCTGACAGTACCACGGTATCGCACAGAGAAACCCTCCAAGTCTCCACCTCCTCCACCACCTAGACGCAGTTTCCCATCTTCTCCAGGCATAACCACCCGCAGCGGAGAGCCCCTCATTCCTGGAAAAAGTATAAAGGTAAGACAAAGAAAAT